TAGGGCTGATACAACTTCCCGAACAATTGAAGTAGTCAACACACTCAACCACTTCATTTCCTATCGTTAAACTGGGTGTTGGTGAAGATGAGTCCTGCATCATCAACTTACATTTGACAGGAGAGAAAGGCATACCGAACATTTGAAGATTGCTGTTCAATGTGTTCAGAAGACTCAGTATTTTACTTTCGTTTCCGCCAAGGGAGACAATATCATCCACATATTCTAAGTCAACAACAACTGTTCTCTGGTAACAAGTCAATTTCCGAGTCACTGAAGTCAGTTAGGGTTGATTCCATTAGTAAATACATGATTAAATTAAACTATTGGAGACAATGGGTACCCCCAATGGAAATCACTGGTTTTAATCACTTCAGATAGCGGTGCTATGTGAGTTTTAAAGGAGTGCCTTGATTAGTGGGATGGACATTCTCGGTACTCCACGACCAAACATTACCACAACACCTTCCAGTAGACAGAGTCAAATTGTGCCTTCACGTCATGGAATATAACAAGCGTCTGACCCAAACGTCTCAGAATATATCAAATAATGAAGGTATAATCAATACGAGCTGTTCCTGGGCCGGGGCTTGTTTTCTATGTGTTTGTTTAGCCCGAGTACCCCTTATTCTAGGCACGATTATTGAACCCAGAACCTTAGACACTCATTAGCCAAGCTAATTCCTTTACGATCATCAGAGGTCGATTTGTCTCCCTTTTTATCCACTAATATAATCAATGATTTACACCAGTACAACGGAATTATATCTAATTTGTAAACATTACCCAATATGTCGGTTAGCTGACACAACAGTTTGTTACCACCACTCTTGTACACCTCTTGAATCATTCCATCAGGTCCTGCTGCGTTGCCTCATATCGGACCAGAGACAGCTTTTGTAACCACAGTTACAGTCGGTAGACACATATCGATATCCCATTCAGGTAGGTGTTGGATGCTGGGCAAGTTGAGCATGGCTAAAGGTCACTTAAGTTGCTCCTCAAAGTGTTCCGTCCAACGTTCCAGCCTTCTATCCCGACAGTTAATTAAGATGCCACCTTTCTGGAACAGTGTCTTTCTTATTACTAGTGTTTTACTTGTTTCCTAAATACGAATCTGGCGTTATCTGTTACCGACGCCATTTGTATCTTTGGCTTTTTTCTGGCCAACCACTGCTTGCGGTCGTTGCGAAGACTTTCCTCTTCTCATTATGTCTGGAGCCCGCCAGAATCAGTCGTCTTGCTCATCAAGCCAATATATTTCTGAAATACCAGGTAGAACAGAAGTCGACCGGTATAGCAGAGGAATTTTAGACAAACAGCAATCTAACTCAACAATACGGCATTCTGTTACTGTGGTGGTAGATGAAATAGTGTCAAATTTTTTATACATATGCCTACTTGGCTTATTCTCACCTATGTGGGTTAAACTCATTTAGTGTTTCAGTTGAATGGCTGAAGTAGAAAGTATGCAGGAGTACACAAAAAAGTGACTATAATCCCATAAAATGTGCTCACAGATATAATAATAATCGACTAACGGAGATAAAACTGTTTTCATTGAACATGAGAAAGAATAGCAAAAACTTGAGACAGTTTTTGAATATCTTTTGTTTCATTAGCATAGTTTATTTTTTGTGTAAGGTAATATAAAATTTGACATTCCTAAAAAGGCGGACGGTTAGCATGTATATTTCTTAGGTGATTAATCTTCAGATATATATACCAATGGAGTGTGCCAACATTTTCATGAGAAATAAAGACACACGTGAAACAGATGAAAACGGAAAAAACTCAAACGCTTACTGTTAAATTCTTTAGACTAGACGAAGCTACTTTTGTCAGACTAAACAATATCATTATTATTATTGTATCCTTTAGTTCCTAGAGGAACATAGGGCTTCAGCTGCGCACCTCCATTGACTTCGGTTTTCTGACAACTTTTTCACCCTGCTCCAGGTCTGCCCACATGCTTTCATCTCCTCTTCACATGACCTCCTCCAAGTCACCCTTGGACGACCAACTCGCCGCCTCCCTTTCGGGTTCCACTCGAGGGCTTGTCTAGTGATGTCACTTGATGGTTTCCTCAGCGTATGGCCAATCCATCTCCATTTCTTTCTGCCTATTTGTTTCACAATCGGTTCCTGATTGGTTCGCTCCCAGAGATCCCTGTTGCTGATCTTTTCTGGCCATCTGATCTTGAGTATTGAGCGGAGACAGTTGTTAATGAAGGTTTGAAGTTTGTTTGAGATGCTCTTTATGACTCGCCAAGTCTCTGATCCGTATAGTAGCACTGACTTCACATTGGAGTTGAAAATCCGGATCTTATTTTTGATGCTGATTGCTGTTGACCTCCACACAGATTTGAGAGTAATGAAAGCTTGTCTTGCTTTTCCGATTCTGGCTTTGATGTCCTCGTCAGTTCCGCCTGTAGTTGAGACGATGCTTCCCAGGTAGGTGAAGGAGGTTGTTTCTTTCAGGTTCTTCCCATTTATGCTTATTGTGGTCTGTTGTTGCTGTTGATGTTGGCAAGGAATCTTCATCATCTCTGTTTTATCTATGTTCACGTGAAGTCCTATCTTTGATGCTTCTTCTGCCAACTTGTTACTTTTCATTTGCATATCTTCCAGTTTATGGGAAATCAGACATATATCATCGGCGAAATCCAGATCCTCCAAGTCTTTTGTGTCAGTCCATTTTATGCCTGTTCCCTCGTTGGTTGCCGTTGTCTGTCGCATTATCCAATCAATTGCAATCAGGAAGATCATTGGTGATAGTAGACAGCCTTGCCTCACTCCCGTCCTCACTTCGAAGGCTTCCGTAAGTTTCCCGTTGTGGATTACTTGGCATGCAGCATTGTCGTATAACTGTTGGATGAGGTGTATAATTGTCGATGGGACCCCGTAGTAGCGAAGTAGTTTCCAAATGACCTCTCGATCGACGCTGTCGAAGGCCTTTTCAAAGTCGATGAAGTTGAGATAGAGAGGTGACTGCCATTCCAAGCTTTGTTCAATGATGATCCGTAGAGTGGCGATTTGATCAATACATGATTTGTTTCTCCTGAATCCAGCCTGTTCCGGACGAAGTTTTTCATCTAGGGCTTGTTTGATTCTCTCCAGGATGATGCGACTTAGTATCTTGCTTGGAATGGACAGAAGCATAATTCCACGCCAGTTTTTACATTGACTTAAGTCTCCTTTCTTTGGAAGTTTGAATAAGTAACTGTTCTTCCAATCCTCGGGTACTTTGCCCTCTTTCCACACCTTCTCCAGTAGTGGTGTCATCAAGTCCGCTGTTGTCTCTGGGTCTATTTTCAAAGCCTCTGCTGGGATTCCATCTGGTCCCGGTGTTTTCCCAGTTTTAAGCATCTTGATTGCATTCAGGACTTCTGATTTCGTCGGGGGGTCAGTGTTCACTGGTAGTTCTGCTTCCGTTGTTGGTATTGCTGGACGTGTTGTAGGTGGCGGACGATTTAGAAGTCTTTTGAAGTGTTCAACCCAGTGCTTTCTCTGTTCCACCTCTTTGGTGATTGACTTTCCATTGTCGTCCTTTATTGGCTTAATCTGTGTCGAACGTTTGCCCGAAAGGTTCCTAGTTGTTTGGTAGAGTGTGGCGAGGTCTCCTTTGCCTGCAGCTTGTTCTGCTTCGTTTGCCATGGTTTCATAATATTTTCTTTTGTCTTCCCTGGCACTTTTCTTCACTCTTTTGTTCAGTGTATTGTAGCTTGCATTCAGCTCCTGTTTTTGTTGCTCGTCCGTGCACTGGATAATCTTTTGCTTCACTGTCCTTCTCTCTTCTATTAGTTTCCAAGTGTCCGTAGTGAGCCACTGTTTGTCCTGTCTCTTTTTTCTGCCTAGAATTTCTATGCAGGTTTGGCTCCACACCGTTTTCAAGTTGTTCCAGTGCTTTTCAACGCCGACCTCTTCGCTAGTGTTGATTTGTGTCTCGGCTTTGTCCTTTATGCTTGCAATGAAGATGTCCTTTGTAGCCTGGTCCTTCAGCTTTTGAGTGTTGAACTTGGCTTGTGGTCTATCTGCAGCTCCTCCTTCTTTGAAAGCTTTTAATTTGATTTGGATTGTCCCTTGTACGAGATAGTGGTCTGAGCCAACGTCTGCTCCTCTTCTTGCTTTTGTGTCCAGTAGGCTGCGCCTCCACTTCCTTGAGATTGAGATGAAGTCGATTTGGTTTTTGGTTTGCCCGTCTGGTGACACCCATGTAGCCTTGTGGATATCTTTGTGCTTGTATACACTGCCACCAATCACCAGTTCGTTGAAGGCGCAGAAGTCGGCGAAGAGTTCTCCGTTTTCATTCATTTCTCCTAGAGCTTCTCTACCCATGATGAGTTCCCTTCCCGTATTGTCTGGTCCCAGTTTGGCGTTCATGTCTCCCATTAGTATTTTCATGTCGCCAGCTGGAGTATTGTCCATTGTTGCCTGTAGTTGCCTGTAGAATTCTTCTTTCTTCTCGAGGTCTGCGTTGTTTGTGGGTGCATAACATTGTATGATTGACACTTTCCTTCCTTTGGAGTTGAACCTGGCGGTCATTATCCTGGACGAAATCGCCTCCCATTGTATCAGGGCTTTCGTTGCCGTTGGTGACATCATGATAGCCACGCCCTCGGTGTGCGTGTGGTTATCTTCTAAATGAAACGGGTTATGAAAAAATCCGCCCCTCCGCGTATAGCTTCGATAACCTCAATTTTGGTGTTATCACTTCAGGTACATTCTTTGCAGTGGTCTGTTTTAATCCCCTACAATTGTCATTTACCAATAATATGTCATTTAATTAAGGTGGAAATAAGTGAACACAAAACTCTTTTTTTCTGTTTTTCTTGACAGTAAACAAGTTATGAGTCTATTATCCGTTGACTGACCCGGATACCGGGGCCTTATAGGACTTCTCGAATTCGTTTTTCTTATCCATCTAGCTTGCAAACCAGATCATCACTGAACCTAGTCTCAACCTTTTCATCCAAAAACATTGGTACAAATTTGACTAACCTGCATAGATGCCATTTCAGCCCAAACTTCTATGTTCCACTTGCCAGGACCCGTGAGAGATGAATTTCCTGTACGATTTCCAGATGTAGACGGCGTTTCCGCAGAAGTGGCCATATGAATATGATAATTTGTAAGTGCAAATGAGAGGAGAGGCTGAAAAGGAGATCCAAGATACTCAGAGATTCTTTACACTGGTAAGAGCAAAATGTTTTAAAAAAAACATGATAGAAATTTATAATGAACGGCTAAAGGAAAGGATTTAACGTACAACAAGAAAACTTTCAATGCAAATAACTATGTTCATGCAATAAAAATAAGGTAGCAGGGAGTGTATAAAATAGTATTTGTGTTTTAAACCAAACTTCAAGCAACCAGTTTCTAATACCATAGTCGCAACAAAATAACTGGCCACTTGTGAAATAAAATGAATTCCCAGCTATAGTCGGTTAATAAAAGTCACGTTTCAAACAATCTATTCTGTGAGCTGACAAGGTTTTTCAATAGACAATTAATTAACGTACAAATATAACAAGACTTCTTTCTGTGCAATATAATGGGATTTGAATAGAACGGTGTAGTTCTCCTTTGTATCTTGTAAAATTACTGTTATCGGTAATAACCCTCGCAGTCTTGTTGTTTTTGTGGAATTTATCGAATTATCTATCCCCAGAAAAGTATAATTATCATAGGCAACATATACACAAACATATCAAAACTTTAAGTTTAGCACTACAATAAAGTGTTTTATAGACTATAACATTTGCGACCAAAGGGATTCCGTTAAGCACAGTAACGTATGACAGTCGAGAATATGCCCTGGCACAAAAGTTGTGCAAATGAATACTCTGGCTCCATCTTAATCGTAATATTATATTTCTTTACTGGTGTTAAACTTTTAGCCCTTTGTGTTTTATAGCCGTGCAACTTTAGATGGTATCGTTTTATTTTTTATCCCTTTGTTGTTAGCTTATAGATACGAGATATGACAAGTTGGGCGACTATGAAGTAATCATTAATCACATTATTCGCTACCTATAGAAGCAGAGGTTTAAAGAGAACTCCAAATAGGAAATTGTTCCAAGGCTGGCCGATACAATTTAACCTTGGCTCATATTAAACGTGGAGACATAACCTTACTAACACAGCTTAACGAGACAAGTGAATCAACCTCTACGCGAGGCCTACATAGTGTGATGCCCATTGTGATGTTACTTTGTCACTAGTTGTGTGAAAAATATTGGCCATCATACTGGTATCATAGGTATTAAGACTACCTTAAATCGTAAGAAAGAATGGCTTATTGACCTTGTTTTAGAAAGGTGCATTCGTGAGAATTTTACCAATATCTTAAGAACTCCGTACAAATATATCTCAGACGGAACTAGAGCATGAAAAAAGTTATTCACCGTAAGTCAGATCAGTAGAAAAATTACCCAGGGTTGTTCATCTTCACGATGCATCTTATGCTACGCTGATTTTAGATTTCACTACTGGCAGTGAATACACGACCGGTATCACTTTATAGTGCGATAACATTCAGATCAGTTGGCGATTAGTGTCATCAAGTGTGCTTTTTCCTACCAAAGTGCGAATGAATAATACAAAATCCTTCAGAACCCGTGCTTTCACACACCTACCGATAGGTAAATGCTAGCTTCAGTTGGTGACTTCGTCTATGTTCATACAACCCAAAAGCTAAAGAGGCTAGGATACTAGAAACACCGTAAGGATAGAGAAAAGACTAGGATCAGCAACTATCATCATACAAGAAGCTGATGTATTGGTAGCGATCCGAAGGCAAAACTATTTTCCAGACAAAAATAGATGTAAGTTTGAATGTTTCAATCGCACAGTTACAAGGGTAGCTATGCGCCCTTTTCACTCCTAGAAAGTGCAACCAAATAGCAACCTGACAAACTGTACATCCTTACCTACTCTATGTAACGCAGAAATCTACACAATATGAGATATTTTTTACTCCAACGAGTGGAAATGTGGCTTACTGATTTGGGCGCTCGACTTCCAGCCACTAGTTTATTGTTTAGAACCCCGTTCTACTTATGAGATTTGGGTAGCCAGATAGCACTATTAGTCTTCATACAATAGATGTGGCTTACTATCAGCTGCATGAAAAACAAGTGATTACTGGGAAACAACGAAGTGGGCAGGTAAGAAGCAAACAGCACTTACACATTCAAGTACACGAAGCTCGTATGTTTATTGTTATGTACTCGTCGCTAATTTATTGTTATGGACTGGTCGAGAAACTAATAGTCCTGACGCGAGAAGGCGGAAATCAGAAGACCACTAGGTTTGCGATGATACTTCTATTGTCCAAACACAAGGAGACGAAAATAAAATGGTCTCACACCAAAGTGGTAAGTAAGTAAAATAGTTCACACAAATTGTGAATGCGAATAAATATAAATGTTCCAGACAAAGCGTGGGAAAAATCATTAGACAGTCTTAACATGAGTGGCTAATTATAATGGAGTGTCGATCCAAATATACATAGCGAATATAGCAGACATGTGAACAACCATATATGGATATATGTCACCAAGCAACGGACTGTCAACAAACACTCATATTATATATAATATAATATAAGGAGAATATACATTATTAAAGGAGACAAGTTCACACAAGTGAAAAGGTCACAGACTAAGCGAGCAACCAGAAAGAGAGACCAACATACACACACATAAAAATATATATGTATGTGGATACATATCATTTATCACCTTACTTCGGCCTCTAATTCTATGTTAGAACTCAGTTATCCAGAACAAAATAATCATGCACCAGACTACGAGCCACACTTATTGTGCGGAGACAGACGGCATTACCCAGCTGCCTAGGTTGAATTATGTGGGGCAGTGCCTTTTATGCTTCTCTCCGCAGTTAATCCTATATGCAGCAGATGCAGTGTTTTCCAAATTATTCCTAACTGGACAAAACCTCCCTGTCAGCTTCATACTGAAACTTGCCACATCCAAGCCAAAGGGGATTACAAGGCTCACTTAGATTATTTTATTTAATGATGAACACATATACGTTCCATTTCTGAGACACGACCCATGTGGTTGTTTGCATAACCCTACCTCGCCATTGTAGTATATTCCCTTTGCAGATGTCGAAGAATTCTGGGGATAGTTCTTGTGGACTGCTAGTGAATGAAAACAGACAGATGAATACCATTAGGCACTGGAGTTGCAGTATTAATGCTCGACTGAATCTTCGAGATAAATTCCATTACTTTGCCCTCAGAACCTGCTTCCAACATAGTGTAATCAACTTACACTATGATTTAGGCTACCCAATATGCAACCAACTTTTTAGCATATTTTGACCTGCAACAATACTTGCCGCTGCCGGTATTACGATATGCAAACCCACCCACCTTGTCCAGATAGCAGCTATCGGTTCAAGGATTTCTACCAGTCTCTATTTTATTATAAACCCTCAGTCTTATGTGTTTATGACAGTATCTCTCTTCTTGTGTTATTGTATTCAACAGGAGTGATACACTTTCGTAAAATTATTTACCTGGATCTGCATGGGTCAATCTCTTACTTCAGGTAGCAACAAACATACTCACCTGAGCATCCAAAAGTATTACGCGGTCCTGAGTAATATATAGGTTGACACCACCAGTGCATGGACTGTTATTTAATATGTGGTTAACACTTTGGATATCAAAAGGACCATCAAAAATGGAACAGTCGTCAGAAATATAATTTGCCAAAATATTTAGAATAGATGATTTTCCTGACCCCTAAATCTATAATAGAAGATTAAGATGTAGTTAATTACCTGCAAACCAATAGCGCCAACAACAAGAAACCCAGAATTATCAACGAAAAGATTCTGAAGTGCTTTAAGATCAGCAAATTTCAGCTGTTCATCGATAAGCTTGATGGGTGCTTCCATGGGATCATCGCAAAGTGTATACAGTTCATCAGGTTTACTTCCTCCTTCCAGTAGTTCAGCTTCGTTTAGTGGAGTACTGAAAAAGTCTATGATGCTCTTTATTTTATCCGATTTTTCCTCCTTGAATGTGCAAATGATTAAAGTAACAAGCCATATACCTTCATCCTAATAACACTACAGAAAAACGAGGATCTCTAGTTTCCCGTCGAAATATCGAACCGCAATTAATCAGCCGTAGTACTGCCTGGTTTCAATGTCATAAAAGATGAAAACATAAAATTTAGACAAGTAGAACGCAAATTATAAAAGAAGCACTTTAACTTAGTCTAATATTAAATAAGAAAAGAAAGTTTCATCAATCGCCCTATTCTCCCCCAATTTTTTTTATTTTGACACCCTACATAATCCTTCACATTTCCTTTATTAAACCGCTGTTTTCCTTCATGTTTCAATTTGAAAAAGCCCTTCAAATGTAACATAAACTAACGAAGTATGTTATTTGACACAGGTAATTATATAGACAACAGTACACAAGTAAGATTGTAAATTGGAAGATCAATGAACTACCACTTCGTAATTATTTAGACAGCTAGATCATACATTAGTAAACAACTTCTGGGCTTATTATGACATCATCTGCACAGAAAGGTGACAGCAATATACAGCTACACCAAGAGGAAGATGAAACACTCAAAAATTGCCTAGTGTATCTAACTCCAAACGACTCAAAATAGGATGAAGTTAAAAGTCAAGCACTTAAGTGAGAAATTAAGTAGTCTTAAACAAGCCTAGAACATATGAGAAGCAATTCATCCGAAGGACTGACTGAATTTTTAGCGGACTTTCCACATAAGTGTAGCAGATTAAGTTACAACATTTTACAAAAGCACACATAAAGGTGGAGATACTGAATGCAACGAGATTGAAGCAGACAAAAATATGTATGGAAGAGACAGTAATTACGTGAACAATAATGAGGACTGGATGATTTTAGCAGAGAGAGGATGTATCTAAGCCACTAAAAACAATTTTAAGCTACGTTATCAAGTCTGCGACACCTGTTTCGCTGGTTACACCTTACGGTACTCAAGCGAAGTGTCAGAAGCTTAGTGAATCAAGGTTATTTTTCGGGTTTACAAACTAATCAAATATCACCTATAACTGCTCGCTTACGAAGATGACAACTTAGCATGTCTAGCACATCTTATCTACCGACGTAATAGCTTCAAAAACTGATTGACTAAATTTGTATTCTTACTTAAAACTGCATATTTTACATCATTATTAACCTAACAAGAGATAAAACGCAGCCTTTAATGGTCAGCAGCGTAGTTCACACGTCAGACTCCCTATAAATAATTTGAATACTCTGTTAGTATCCACTTGTCCTTCAACAGATAATCAAAACATCTTGCTAGTTAACGGGATCAGAATCAGTCAAACTCCTCATTACTGATATAAACAAGACAGATTTGCAAAATAAAGAGGCACTTATGTACATTTATATCTGGTTTAACTTGGTGAATTAAGTGTTTCGCTATGAAAAATGCCAGAAGATTCAAGGTCCACCTCATAAATTTAAATTACCTGCACATAGGAAGATACTAACGAATACGGAAGACAACCAACTAAATTGGAAATAATCAGATGGTTCGTAAAATCAAATCACTGCTAGCGATGATGATACGCAGATATAGAAAGTGAGCTTGAAAGACTTCAACCTACATCATCAGTGCATTCGAGATATCCAGCTACTAAATAGCAGTGCACTCCGTCGTACCATACACCGGTGTTATCCTTGATTTCCTCAAGTCACCTAATATTGATCAACATATCACGTAACATTGACATAACACATAAACTAAAATAGAGGGTAAGCTAATCAATAAGGGTGTGAAGAAAGCATCATCATCCGATGTGACTTGGACATATCTAAGCGGTACAGACCCATCAATCTTATTGCTAAATTTGCATTCTGTTGGAGAATCGTCACTAGTGGTCGGAATTCATTAATTCATTGACTGCTGGCCTAAACAATTTAGAGGAGTACAACAAGCCTAATTAGGCACTTTTGAGGAGAATGTTTGGAGAGCTGTGACATCACCTCTCAAAGGAGCTTCCGAAATTTAAAGAATGGTATATCTGCGAGCATTTTCACTGTTTTGTACTTGAGACTCCAGTAATAACTAAAATCACACTACATCACAATTAGTCTGTATAAAATGAGCGCTAACTTTAACAAGTGAATAACTTAAGGTTAGCATTGCGAGGGTCAAAGATTCTCATGTCAAGGACTACAAAAACAGCACTAGTCGCGAAATGATTTTTTATTGCCACTTAGGAAGTCCTGCTACATTTTATTACTGCTGTAAGCGAATTTGAGCAAAAAATGGGAAGCTTGACAGGATAATGAGGCGTTTACGAGTGGGATTCTGGTGGTATATTACAGAACAGAATCAAGACTAAGAACGGATTTCAGAAAACCATAATTTAGAGTCATTTTGTTCTTAATCCTGATACTTTAAATGCTCTTTGACAGTGATTAATTACTTAAAGTCAGTGGTTAAGTCGATCAAAGTGGTTGATACAGTTTAACTTCCCGAAAACATCTTCATATTTTCACTCATTTTGTATACATGACGAAATATTTGGTCCACAGCTGGTACAAAAAATTAGGCTTGACATGAATACGTGGATGATCACATGAAATACTTTGCTTACACCCCAGAATAACGCTAAAGTAATATATTCGACGTCAGAGGAGTATCTTAGGCACTCTAATGAGATATCTTCCAGCAACTTAAAAATCTTCAAAACTATTTGTATAGACTTCTTAAATATTCAGAAGTTTATATTACATGACACACTGAAATTGTTACACAACTTACAGAAATGCAACACCTGCCAAAAGTAACGCAATCATCTAAAACAATGTGAAAATATTTTATATCCAACATCGTATTAGTGCAAACAAAATTAACTTCTTTGTATTCTCCTTTTAGTTGTAAGGTGAAGCCCCTGGACCTTCAGTAAAATTTTTTTGTAGTACGTTCTGCCACTTTTCTGCCCTAGCCTTGGTTGACTCCAAAGGAAGTGGTACAGATTCCGATTTAGATTTCAGATTCAGATTTTTCGGTTGAGGATGGAAGGCTCGGAGCCTATGCCAATCCCTTTCCAGAAAGCTTCTGTGGTTGTCCAAACCCTTAATGAATGAATCAGTTGAGATTGCAGATATCACTTCTTCTCGGAGTTGGTTCTAAGAGCTTATGACTCAGTTTCAGAACCAGTACACAACAGCAATATGATTTCTCCTTGACTTTTGAACTATCCTGCTATGTCCTCTAAGGTATTCCGACCTGGTGGGAAGGAAAAGAGAGAATAGGTCCGTAGTTATTAAATTTGGCTTTCAGCATCTAGTGTGTTAAGACCCTTTCTCTGCCGTAAATGGAGTTGATCTTTTCCCCCGATATTCTTCCGGTATATTCGAGGAAAAGGATAATAATCATTCAAAAAGATAGTGTAGAATGTGCCGACTTAAAAAGAAAACGTAAAAAATAAATTCGTGGTTAGAAATAAACAAAAAAAAATGATTGGAAATAGTAATAATATGTGGGAATGGAACGGCAGTGTTAGAAGATTGAGATAAGCGAGAGTAGGCATGATACAAGACCATGTAGTACCCCTATATCAACTGTAAACATGCTTTTTAATCTAATTTGTATACTTGTATTATATGTGTATACAGACCGCTTTTATATATACATCGCAAACATTTGTCAATTTACTGTTGAACATTACCTTGACACAATTTCGAATTTGACTACTGCTATAATACACATTCGTACTCTTCGCAAGTGCCTTTTGATTTACGTTGTGGGCGTCGAGTAGCCACAACGTCTGCGCACATTAATAAGAACGAAGAAATACTAGAATATATGTGTACGGCAGTTTAGTCAGACAACGCGCGCAAGAACCATTTCATATGGCATACATTAACAGTGAGGTATGTGAATTTTAGAGATACGTTGTTTGCATTATTTTCTTATATATCTGCATGATTTTTCGGCCTTTTCTATGATCTTTTATCTGAAGGTGAGGTGTCCACAAATGCTTCTAAATAATTCCAGGAAGACTATAACTGGTGGACAAGGTAGTGGGGACACCTCGGGTTTTCGCTGTCTGATGCATCTTACTTTACAAGCTGCTGCTAAGAATCCCGTTATCAAGTAATGCAGAGCACCTGTGTTCATATATTTCTTTTCATTGGTACTCTTTTAGGCAGTCATTAGGTCTTCCCTAAGCAAATGGCGCCCAAGTATGATACTGCTTAATTTCTTCAAACTTCCATTATATGTTTGATTCTGGAGACTGTTCATCCCCTTTGCTGCCCGCCTTTGGACTCTTTCGAAGAGACTATCGCCCCTTTCAAGTAACGAGAGAACAGTGACATTGTGCACTTGAAAGCGTGAACTTACGGATGTATATACATGCCTTCAAAAAGCCGAGGAGTGAGAGCACCTGCCTGTCTATGCTTAAAACGTAAAGCTGCATGTACCATGGCCATATCATCCGTTTAACTCATGTCTGGATCTCACATTACTTGTCTGACGCTACATGTGACCCCTCGCGTCGTCCGGGTACGTAGTTGTACTGTGCATTAAAGTCACACCACTGAAGAATGCCTAGCTTCCCAGAACTTTCATGCCGAACTGAAGCCATTCTGAATCCTGCAAGCGCTCTACTGCCCTCCAGATCTTCACGCCACCAGCGGAATATTAGCCTGGCTGTTTTGGCAGAACGACGGACCATTGATAAAGTCAGAATCACTAAGGGCTACCACCGTAATGTTTAATAATTCCAAGGTTTCTCACACATGATCTACCTCTCCTGAAACTCTGTTTGTCTTCATGGAATATCTCAGTCCTCTCGACGTGTTGCCTTATGTGGCAATCAGCCTAAATTTCCACTATCACAGAAACAACTGGAGTAGCGCCAGTGGTCTGTAATTCGTTGCGTTATGCCCATCCCCACTTCTGAAGATTGAAGAAGGGATGGCTATTTTCCACACCTTTGAATCAATGGAGTATTGGAATGTGCCGCGTAACAGCCTGCTTACAGCTTCTGTAAACTGTTTCAGATGCGATGGTAGGATGTCGTGACAGCCTGGAGACTTTCCCGACCTGATTGATATAGAGATTATCCCTTAGATTTTCGCTTGATTGCTCAGTAATGTTTAAGGTCCATGGGAGTAATACCCGCCGTGGTGTTTAGTTGTTCGTCAAACATCTATATGAATATTTCATCTATTTCCAAATCAGCGAATTACTGAACACTTAGACTTCACTCTATACTGAAGATCAGATGGCCAGGCCGGAAAGAATCACCAACAAGAAACTATGGGAACAAACAAAACAAGAACCAATCGCCGCCCAACAAATATGCAGAGAAAAGTGGAGATGGATTGGACAGTCGCTGAGGAGGCCGGTTGATGACATCGCGCGACAGGGCCTCAAGTGGAACTCGAAAGGGAAGTGGCGAGTTGGTCGTGAGTGCGAGGATGACATGGAGGAGATCATGTGAAGAGGAGTTGAAACAGTATGGACTAAGATGGATGCAGGTGAAAAGTACAGCAGAAGGAAGAAAGAAGCAAGTGGAGACGTGGAGTTGAAGCGCTATGTTCCACTAGAAACCCAAGGGAACAATAATAATAGTAGTTGATTTTATAAGGTAAACCATTCCGGTCTGGTAGGTCTTCTTCGCGACAAGAATCTGCAACGGCTTTTGGGAATTGCCAGGAGTTTTCTGGCAAGATTTAACTAAATGAACTCCCGCCACTACAGACCCTTACGGTGCATCTGTTACGCGTTCTAAGTCTGCATCCTTAGTAACTGGGCAATGTGACAATTCTCAGACTGGATGACCGTGATATATTGTGCTTAATCTAAATTGTTTTGATAAACATTTCATGAAGTACTGCTACAATGTTTATAGTCTGGTCCACCACAGCCTTTTTGCATATGACATTTTTGATGACTCCAACTGTGCAATACTTGGCAGTCTTTTCTAAACAGGATTTACAGTAACAGCCACCAAGTGAGGACGCAACAATCGCAGTTTACACTATTGCTCAGAAACAATCTATCAAAGGCTAACTGCATTTTAGTCAAGTGTGATTTTCACAAGCCACTTATTATGATCTATCTCTACTGCATGCAGTGGAAATGTGACATGCTACTAAATTGCTGTAGAAATTAAACTCTGAAGAACTCCTATATGTAAGGTTTATTTCACGCTAAATATCATTCAGACTATATGTTCTTGTATAATTTTGTAGCATCATCAGGTTTAGGTATGCGTCTTTAGCAAATTCCTATATAAAAAGTCTTTTCACGTGCAGAATGTATGTCCATGTAGTTGAAGATTGAACGATCAATTCATGGTTGTTTGCTCAAAACCAACTTCCCCAATTTTCGCGGAGGCATCAATACGACAGTCATCGTCTCATCGGTCGCTGTTCAAAAAGAAGTCAGACCAAAACTGTCAGAAGCAATATTGTGATTTATTATTGTAATATTTGTTCATAGACCTTAGTTAAAACTTAATTTTAAAGTTGCCTATATGTTGGTGTTACAATAAAGAATTCTCGAGTAGCCAATCGGTGTTTTGGTTTTTGCTTCCGTTATTACTAAGCGTTTGTGAGAATTTTCAAGGAACAGCGTGAGTCCCAGTGTAGCAAGAGCTGGATATTAACGGTTTGCGAGACGTGGCTGACAGTTTCTGACAGTACAACGTCAGTTTATAAAGGGTTTTGGACAGTTGGCACGACTTTGGATAGACACCGTTCATCTTTCCTGATGTCGGTCAAGTCCTTTTTGAACAAGCAATATCTGGAACGTTTCTGGAATTGGGTCAAGTTCAACAATGCCTGGGTCAAAGAAGGGACAGAGCGTATTGGACGCAAACGGGAGAGTAAGTCATGGTGACTTGTCTGTTAATTGTAACGATGTATCTGATGTTAAGCATGACATGGTTGATGTTACTGTTTCGCCGTTCAGCGATAATAGGAACATCAAACTCCCAGAATTTGAACCACGGTGTTTCGATGGAAACCCGGCTGATTATTTACAGTTTGTTAGGGAATTTGAAATCATGTTAAGTGTTTTTCATTAACTGATGAAAATAGGTTAAGTCATTTGATGAGGTAATGCACTGGAGTTGCTTGAAGAGCTACACAGTGCTGCAAGTATATGAAGCTGAAAGAGGGCACCTATGAGTCTATGAGCATACTACGTGAAAGGATTGGAAGACTTTCGGTGGTTATAAGGAACTTATTCGAGGCTGTTAAAGGTAATGGTATTCAATTGCAAGATGACTCCAAGGCACTCACTGAGTTTTTGGATAATTTGCCGATTTACAAGAATACGTTGATTTCAATGAATTGCATGAGTGATCTCAACTCGAGTTTTGTACTAGAAGTAATAGCAAGACGCCCACCTACTCGACTGCAAAGGGAGTGAGTGAAGATAAGATCCCGTATGGAGGATGAGGGTATCGAGCCAAAGTTTGATGATATCCTGAAACTAGTAAAAGATAGTGTCAATCAATCTATGAGCAAGTTTGCCAGTATATTGCATCCCACCCCTATAATAGAGCAGTCTGAGAGTAAAACGCAATCATTGATGACGAATAGGCCTCAGAGAGGTGGATATCGAGAAGGCCCCATGATGTCTAGTAATGCATATAGACCTAGTGAGTGTAACAGCTCTCGTAGTACATCCTCAACAGATAAGTTACAAGATGCAAGACAAAGACGGTTGTGTTTTACACGTTTGCAAGAGGTGCATACAAAGGTGAGCTGTGAACCAGTGAGCAAGTTCAGTGATAAGTCAGATGTGAAATCAAGGTCTGACTCCGAATTGTGTGACGATAACGGTGCAGTGAAGAAGTCTGTAGTTGCAACTGGTAAGCCATTGTTGAATAGAGTGTCACAGAATAGAGTTACTGCTTCAGAGTACAGTTCTGACTCCACAAGTTTACAAGGTATTACTAGTCAGAGTGAAGGTATAAAATCTTTAGGGATTTGTGTGGAAGAACCCAAATCATCTACTGCCGTTGTTAAAGAGTTTGAAATTGATGAAGTCGACCAGATAGATGATGGTAAATTGAATATTTGTGATAATGATCATGATAGTGCAGATGTGTCTTTGGTTGATCATGATGAAATGAGGGGAGTGCCTACTACTGCTAGGTTAAAAAAGGGTTCTGTACAGCTCAAAGGTGAAGTAGAAATAAATGCAGATGCAGTTGCAGAAGGTATACATACTTGTCAGACCGTCAGTTTAATTGATCAGCATAAAGCCCACCTATCATCAGATGCTAGTGCTAAACCTGAGCTAATAGTAGAAGACAGCAGTGGTAGTAATCTTGCAGTTAGAGAATTTTCTGAAAGCCGAACAACAATAGCTTCTGATCCACCGCTAAGTTCATCAACTGGTATCAATCAGTCGTCGTTGGTGCTGTCATCCACAATAAAACAGACGCCCATCAACTCAAGTATCTTGTGCAATGACTTTGATAGTATTGGTGCATTTGAAAAGACGAAAGATATTGCTCAGTTTAGTGAGAATAAGCCAAGTGTAAACGAAAGAGTAATTGTTAAATTGACTTGCATGAATAAAGGCATTTCTAGTTTCAAGTTACTATTTGAATGTTATTATCTTTGGTGTAAATTACTCTGTGCCTACGCTCGGCTGACCAGATACGTCGTATGTTTGTTCGTCATCTATATTCTACGATACAATGACATGAGCGTGTTGCTGTTCAGATTTGAGGATATAGCTGATAGAAGGAAGTCAGCAAATGAACTCTGTAACGATTTTCCAACCTAGATGGTCAACCTGAGAAGGGTTGTAGGCGTACTGCTGTAAGTCCTACAATTCTTCAAAGGGTAGCGCATCAATGAGCAGTCCA